GTGTCAGCCTGAATTATTTAATTGTGATAAAATTAAAAGTGGCAGGCCATTTTTTTTTGGTTTTTACCATAATTTTCCTGCCCAGTAGCTGTTGAAGGACTTGCCTAAATGAAGGTAACTGATTGAACACTAGTTGAGGAAAAGTGATGCTAGCTGTACCCATAATGCTGTCAAAAGTCAGAGTAAATGGGAGGGGGGATTTCCACTTTTTTGTTGGAGGTCTGTAGAAACAAGTAAAATGTTAAAACATAATAGCCTCTTCATTGTTACTGCTTGTTTATTCTCTGCTGTAAATTTGGAGAACTACCCCCTTGAAAGTGGTGTAAAATTTAGTGACTTGGCTTATGTGTACAGCAGAAAGTACCGTATGGGGACTACCAAAAAAGGTTGCTTCAAAATTGGGAAAAACTGGCAGATCTTCAGAAGCTTAATAAATAATAAACATTTAAGGGTTTGCTTAATATTTGAGGTTTGCTTAATGCAGGTTTTGCTGTAGTTCCAAGTGCCGCAAATCAGTCTGGTCCATCATTAGGTTTTTAATGTTTTGGAGGTGAAAAAATACTAGTATCCTTGCTGGTTTTGCAGAAGTCTGATTCTTTATTATGTTTCGTATAACCAAGTTTCTAGTGTAGTCTAGTGACCCGAGTGCTTCTTTTGTAATAAATCTTGGGCTGCATAAAATCCAAGGCATGTGTTTGCTAAGAACTTGGGATCTTCCAGAGAAGAAAATATGAATCTAGGAGTTTTATGCTGCATTTATTATTGCTGTATCTAAAGACCTCAGAATTTATAACTGACAGTTGTTGGTAGTGTTACACCTATGACTGATTTCCCACCCCCCCCCGGCGCAAATATTTAGTGGCTGGTTTACAACCAGCAGATCTGATCTGCTGTCTAGTTGAAGACAGTAGTTATGTTCAGATTGTCCAGGTGGCTATGCCTATAGTTATGATGGCCTGCCACTTTTCATGTAATTTTGGCCCAATTAAATAATTCAGGCTGAATATCTTTGCTGATTGCCTGAAAAAAGTGTGCATTTCCTGAAGGTTTCAGTTAAGAGTTCAGTATCATTCCATGGGTGAAATTAGGGTGAAAACAATTGCGCTTGCTTTTGCCTCTGGTGATTTAATTCATAGAGCTGTTTTCAGTTCTGTGCCAAAACAGAGGCACACATTATTTCATGATTTTTCTGGTATTTGAAACTTGTATATGGCATGAGTATGCCTTCTGCCAACCCTGTGAAAATTCATTTTGGGCCCATGTTATGAGCCTCTGCAAAAAAAAAAAAAAAAAAA